ATGACCTTGAGCCGCGAAGGAAATGACCCTTAGCCACGAAGAAATGACCCTTAGGAACAAGAAATGACCCTTAGCCACGAAGGAAATGACCCTTAGCCACGAAGAAATGGCCACGACGAAATGGCCCTTAGCGCCGAGGAAATGGCCCTTAGCGACCCAGAAATGGCCCTTAGCGAGGAAATTGCCCTTAGCCACGAAGAAATGACCCTTAGCCACGAAGAAATGACCCTTAGCCACGAAGAAATGACCCTTAGCCACGAAGGAAATGACCCTTAGCCACGAAGAAATGACCCTTAGACGAAATGGCCCTTAGCTCCCAGGAAATGGCCCTTAGCGACCCAGAAATGGCCCTTAGCGAGGAAATTGCCCTTAGCCACGAAGAAATGACCCTTAGCCACGAAGAAATGACCCTTAGCCACGAAGAAATGACCCTTAGCCACGAAGAAATGACCCTTAGCCACGAAGAAATGACCCTTAGCCACGAAGGAAATGACCCCTAGCCACGAAGGAAATGACCCTTAGCCACGAAGAAATGACCCTTAGCCACGACGAAATGGCCCTTAGCTCCCAGGAAATGGCCCAAATGGCCCTTAGCGAGGAAATTGCCCTTAGCCACGAAGAAATGACCCTTAGCCACGAAGGAAATGACCCTTAGCCACGAAGAAATGACCCTTAGCACGAAGAAATGACCCTTAGCCACGACGAAATGGCCCTTAGCTCCCAGGAAATGGCCCAAATGGCCCTTAGCGAGGAAATTGCCCTTAGCCACGAAGAAATGACCCTTAGCCACGAAGGAAATGACCCTTAGCCACGAATGACCCTTAGCCGAAGAAATGACCCTTAGCCACGAAGAAATGACCCTTAGCCACGACGAAATGGCCCTTAGCTCCCAGGAAATGGCCCAAATGGCCCTTAGCGAGGAAATTGCCCTTAGCCACGAAGAAATGACCCTTAGCCACGAAGAAATGACCCTTAGCCACGAAGGAAATGACCCCTAGCCACGAAGGAAATGACCCTTAGCCACGAAGAAATGACCCTTAGCCACGACGAAATGGCCCTTAGCTCCCAGGAAATGGCCCAAATGGCCCTTAGCGAGGAAATTGCCCTTAGCCACGAAGAAATGACCCTTAGCCACGAAGGAAATGACCCTTAGCCACGAAGAAATGACCCTTAGCACGAAGAAATGACCCTTAGCCACGACGAAATGGCCCTTAGCTCCCAGGAAATGGCCCAAATGGCCCTTAGCGAGGAAATTGCCCTTAGCCACGAAGAAATGACCCTTAGCCACGAAGGAAATGACCCTTAGCCACGAATGACCCTTAGCCACGAAGAAATGACCCTTAGCCACGACGAAATGGCCCTTAGCTCCCAGGAAATGGCCCAAATGGCCCTTAGCGAGGAAATTGCCCTTAGCCACGAAGGAAATGACCCTTAGCCACGAAGAAACGACCCTTAGCCACGAAGGTGTATAGGGTTTAAATATATAGAAAGAGAGGTTTACGGTTTAGGGTTTAGGGTTTAGTGTTTGAAGGAAAGCTCGCTAGCACCCGGGCCGCTCGCTTGCGTTAGCATGTAGTCCCACCCCAACCACCCAAACTATTCTCATTTAGGGTTTAGGGTTCACCCCCCAAACCCCCCTGAAGGGGGGGCTTTCTTGTTCTTTTGCTTGTTTCCGAATTGTAGGTGAAGAAGCGCAGGGGGGGGTTTCCCCCCCCCCCTTTTGAGGTTTCATGAAGCCTGAGAGGGGCCCCTCAACAAGCAGCAAAACGGCTGGGGGTCGCAGGGGCCTCGGCTGGCCCCTGCTTTTAGCCAGCATGGCAGAGTCTGGGTTCCTGAAAGTTCCAAAAAAGGTTGCAGCGAAGTTACAGGGCTGGAGGGTCCCAGGCCCAAACCCTAAACCCTCAGCCCCGGGCCACGAACCGAGCCTTCCGAAGTACGGTAACCCTAAACCCTAAACCCTAAACCATAAACCCTAAACCCCACATGAGTGTTGAGGCGCTAATCAGGCCGACATTCTTCAGCTCTTCGTCGGTCTGGCTGATGCAGGCGATATCAAGGAAAGCCAGTTTCCTACCGAGCGGCATGGCCACTGACATGGTCAACAGGACATAAATATATATATATATATATATATATGTATATTATATATATATATATATATAGTGCTGCCAGCCAAGACTATACACTCACGACTAAGTGATATTTCACGAGGGTTTAGGGTTAGGCTCTACCTAGAGTCACCACGTCCGTTTCTGCAAGAGCATATAGGTTCAGTCTAGGCTTCATCCGTGCCATATCTTGTTGTCATAGCTACTGGGGCAGCCCTGGATTCGAACGTCCTCCTCTGCCATAGGAAAAGGGTCACATAGTAGCCGAGGGTGCCAGCAAGGGTGCACCACGCATGTGCTATGCTTGTTTGATTCGGGCCGCCCTGTATCGGCAAGATGCCTGCCACAGCTGCGGAGAAAGCTGCACAGGCACAAAGAGCGGCAACCACGAACGCGGGAAAGCCGTTGTTCCTATACTGAACTTGGAGCCCTAGCAGAATTGTTGATTCTATTTGTTTCTTAGGAATGAAAGTACCCAAAAACTGGAAAAAAAATGTTTCCAAAGGATTCCTAAGGTTCAGGAAGAGGATGTTGACATACTTGAGCCAGGCCATGGTGCGCCAGCTATGAGACCAGAACTCATCCAGATGCTCAGACGCCACCTCACCTAGGTCGGCCATTAGAGTACGCACAAGGTTTAGCGTCTACAAGGTTGGGTTTGACGGCCACAAGACAGAAAGTGCAATCGAGCCGTAAACCAAAAACCCTTAGGAGGGGCACCATACAGGGGTCTTAAGAATCTTGAATAGGGTTTTGGTACTATGGTACATATGTATGTTTATGCAGGGCTTAGGATTTATAGGGTCTAGTCACTGAGTCCATAAAACTCCGTCCGCTCTCCCGCCAACCACTTGCGCGGCATGCGCTGCAACACACGATAAACGGGGATCCCTCGCACAATGTCGGGCCTGACGGCTTTCCTCACTGGCTGAGTTCTCCAAGGGACGTGGCACAAGGCTTTGAGGCTGAGGGACCAGGTTAACTTTCGGCTTTTGCTGCAAGGGGGTTGGTATGTAGCAACACAAAGAGGGTTGGAGCTTTCCATCTCAGACAAGTTTCATCTGGGTCACAACCTGTAAGAGGCTCTGAAAGAGCGCCAACTCTTTGGAGTGCGAAGATTCTTCGGAGATTTCAGAAGGAGTCCCCACGACGACCTCCAATCCCATGGCGGCCAGAAAAACAACAAAGAGTCGCACAAATATGCTTTTGCCCGCTGGGCCACACAATGTTCAGAAAATGTACCGGCCTTCTGCGTGGCCAGCATAATCCGTGAATTTATGAATCTAGACATGTTGTTTTTGCAGCAGGGCTAAGAACTGCAGGAGTCGCATCAGCTGAGGCATGGGTCTGGGGAAAGGTCACGCTGGCTTTGTTCACAAGAAGATACTGCATCGGCTGCTCCTCATTGAGCCAGGCCCAGCACACATAGCCCACGGAAACGAAACAGTTTCGGGCTTAAACCCTCAACCCTAAACCCTAAAGAGTTCTACAGCCTGGCGAAGAGGCTCCCCTGGTCGCTTGGGTTGGGGGGGGGGGGCTTTTTTTGGGGCTTCAGGCTTCAAAGGTTCTAGGTTTCAAAGGCTTTGGTTTTAGGGTTTGTAAGGTTAGGGTTTTGGGTGGATCAGGTTGAGGCTGAGACCCCCTGGCAGCACAGTAAGAGTCTTTAAAGGCGCCTTTAGAAACGAGGTCAGGGTTTAGGGTTTAGGGTGTTTAGGGTTTTTAGGGTTTTTTGGGTTTTTAGGGTTTTTTGGGTTTAGGGTTTATGGCTTGGGGTTCAGGGCTGCGGGGTCGTAGACAATAACCTCGCGTAGAGGACCGGCCAAGCAGGCACAGAGAACGCCTGTCAGCTCAAGAGAGAGGAAGTCTCTCTATTCCGCCCTTGTAGGGTTGGTCGGACTTCTCGGGTTTAGGATTTAGGGTTGTTGAAGCTGCAAACGAAGGCAAGGCTTTATAGAGGTTTTGAGGCTTGTTTTCGTCCGGGAGGGAGGGGGGGGGGGGGTAGATTCGGGTAGATACTGGGAGAGTAGTCGGGCTTGGGAGGTTTTCTGAAACTGGAAGGGTTGACGCACTTAGGGTTTGGTCTAGGGGTCCGCATGAAGGCTTGAGCGGGAAGGGCTGGGTTCTGACTTGGTGATTCGCTTTAGTGGTGGCCGAGGTGTTTTCTTTTTTCCTCTGCCGCCTTTTTTGTTGTGCAGCCGTTTTTCTCGGACTTCTCGGTTTTTCCTGTGCGGTCGCTTCTCCAGGGGAATGCTGGCAGCGAATCAGCGGCGGCAAAGCAAAAAAAAACAGACACGCTTGCTAGGATCGGGACGCGATGTTTTGTTTTCTGTGCCGTCGTTTTTGGCCGCGTGAGCACTAGGCGGCCCTGCTTTCAATGTTTTGGCCGCGTACGGCCTAGGCGCGCTTTTTTTTCCCGTGCCGTCGTTGCCCTAAACCCTCAACCCTAAACCCTAAACCCTAAACCCCTAAACCCCTAAACCCCTAAACCCCTAAACCCTTAAACCCCTAAACCCCTAAACCCCTTAACCCCTTAACCCCTTAACCCAAACCCTGAACCCTAGGGTTTAAACCCTAAACCCTAAACCCCTAAACCCCTAAACCCTAAACCCTTGTTCTCTCTTGCTGTGCCGTCGGCTTTGTGCTGCATAAGGCCTAGGGGCATTTGTTTGGGGTCTTCTTTTCGGGGCCTTTTACGTGGGGACTTTGCTTGGTCCATGTTCGTGGCTTTGCCTCGGAAAACCCTAGGGTTGAGGGTTTGGGGTTTAGGGTTTGGGGTTTAGGGTTTAGGGTTTACGGTTTAGGGAAACCTCCATTCTCTGTATTCTTATAGGATTCATAGTGCCTTTCGCTGCTCGAATCCTTATTGATTTTGGCACGGCTTCCTTAATCTTCCCGAAGAGACACCTGTGCTCCCTTTATGTTGGAGTCATAAACCCTAAACCCTAAACCCTAAACCCTAAACCCTAAATTCATCGTAGGATTCTTATTCATTTTGCTCGACTCCGTATTCGTTCGAGCTCTGCTGCTTTGGTTTTGCCCGTAGCGTTGCTTTGTTCATGCGAAGTGAAACCTGCAAGCTTTCCCGAAGAAAAACCACCGTCATACTGTACTAGGATCCCGTATATTGTCACAAGCTTCGTACTACTTCTCGTACGATTTCTTTCTAAACTTGCATGGGACGTCGACTAGCTCAGCTCGAATCCTTATTGACTTGGGGTATGTTTGAAGCAAGCTTGCACGACTCAATCTACAGAAAATATAGGCTTGCCTATTGAAACACACAGAAAATAGAGGTTTCCCTATTAGAATCTAGAGAAAAGAAAGGTTTTCCTAGTAAAATATCTAGCAACCCCTAAACCCTGAACCTCGCAAACAAACATTTTAAAAAAGAGAAAAAAGATGCTTCAGCTTTCTAATGTAGGGTCCCGAGCATAGGCTCTTAATGTCGAGCCCCTGTTATAGAAGCTCTATATAACTTGGTTGCTCTTTAACTCCCCCATAAAAAGTTGAACTTAACAAGTTGAACTTCTAGCTCCCTTAATTTGAAATTAGAGGAACCCCAACACTCATATAAAGTGCTAACGTTGAAGCAAAGCCCCACCTAGGTATCTATATACAGTATATACATAACAAGGGTCCATTCTTCGGTTCCCTAGAAACAAGGGTGTGGGGTTGATTCCTTTCTTTCTTTCTATGGAAATGCGCAGAAAGTAGAGGGTTTTCCTACTAAGAAAGAGAGCGAGAGAGAGAAAACTGAGGAAAATACAAGTTTCCCTCTCTTTCTAAGACAACATAGAGCCTCAAAAAAAGAGCCCCCTTTTAAAAAAGAAGAATGCCAACAAAAAGAGCCCCACCCTAAAGCCCCAACCCTCCTGATCCCTCAACCCAGAAGAACTTAAGCAGGCTTGTCGATTTTGATGAGTTTTTCCGCGCTGCGGGCGTGTCCACGTCATTGCTGCCTAGACCACTAGTTTGTGTTCTTGGTGCTGGATTCCTTAAAGCTTCATGGATTCTACGAACAAAAAAAACGAAACTACGATTCAAGGTCGAGGTGTGGCACCACTGAACCCTCACTTTAGTGTTTGTGCAGGACTGTGATCTGCGCCTGTCTGGAAAATTTTAGAAGAAAAATGCTCACAGACTCAGGCTCGTTCCAGGCGCAGCAAAAACTGGAGCTGTGGGTGAGGCAGGCTCTGATCCCCCTGCGGGATCTTGGGGCGTCTCAATCATCTCAACCGCGGGCATGCACCTCCACAGAGCCACGGTGGCTGTACCCATCACTGTCAGCAACGCAAGGTCCGCAGGCACGAATTGCCCAAAAGTATCCGAGGACAGGCTGCGAAGAGCGCTTTCGCAAAAGAAGTAGGCGCCATAAAGCAGCGACGCTGCCTTGAGTGCTGTCATGTGCTGTCCCTAAACTCGCCAACTCTTCTGCTACGTAGCTAGAGCAAGAGCAAATATGGTACAGCAAACCGGAAAATGTGTGCCAACGATGACGCAGTGCGGCCACGAGCACAGCAGAAAGCAGCCACTGTGCCAGCTTGCTGTGTCCAAGGTTGCGTATTCTGTAGGCCAGGCGAAGTAGAAGCTGAGCTAGGCATGGAACCACACAGAAGAGATAAGTTGCAGATTTCAGCGTCGCTTCCAGTACTATTACGATCTTGTCCGGATAGTGCCAGTAAAGCAGGTCCAATACGGCAAACGCAACTGGGCTTGCCGCCTGCACGATGCGCCAATAGGAGAACGCCTGATTTGCAAGCTGGTAGACCAAAGCCTTCAAAAGCCGGGTCCGAACGAGGGATTCGAAGCTTGCCACAGACCCGAACCAAGCAGAAATGCAACGAAGGATGATGAGGCGGTCACAGTTCATTGTGCTGCCGTTGGCATCCATGTGACCGCAGCCACAGCAGGTACACGAGCACTGTTGAACCGTGAAATGACGGACTTGACATTGAATCGCATCAATGCTTCGACAGTGGTGAATCACCACACGGGCAAGGAGCAGCAGGCACGGGAACAACATTGCAGATGCGAAGACTCCAGCCCATGGATAAAAAGGCAGGCCCGTACAGAACAATGTAAGCAGGAGCACGCTGAGACCCAGGTGGGCCAAAACAAGCGCGGGGCCCGTGAATACTGGGCAAACCAGCACCGACTTGTCTGCGCAAGGCCCTTTGCTGTGTAAGAAACCTGCCATCTCCTTATATTACTGCGGCTGCAATGTCAAATTGGGAACCTAGAAGGCTGAAAACTTGTTAGCTGCGTTTCTTAAGGCATGAGGTACTAACACTACAGAACAGTACTCGAGATTGCTTTGGATGCTGTTTTTTTCTGTTACATGCAAGCGCACAACCTTGCCACAAAGCACCTGGTGTCGAACACGCACCACATTCTCATGATCCATGTCTCATCCCAAAGGACGAGCAGCGACTTCGAACCTCTGAAGAAAGTGCTAGAACTCGAAGTTGCGATGCTGCATTACAAGAGCATAAGCACAAGTCATTCATAGGGTAGCACGCTGCCCTTCACAACAAGGCCATAAACAAAAAGCAGAACCTTCCCCAGCAAAGTACGCAGAGTCCCGTAAGCCCCCATGGTCAAAGAAAAAACGGCTCTTGGTCCCGAAGAAGAAGCATCGCAGAAAGGCACCCATGCCTCGGATCTCAGGGAAGAAGCGGGCTCTGGACTTGTTGAGCATTCAGGGTGCTGGCTTGAACAGCCCCCCTAAACCCTAAACCCCCGCCGCGAGCATTCTTGGTAAGGTAATCTCGAAAGCCCAAATGAGTGTTGAGGCGCTAATCAAGCCGACACCCTTCAGCGCTTCGTCAGTCTGGCTGATGCAGGCGACATCAAGGAAAGCCATTTTCCTACCGAGCGGAATGGCCAGCGACATGGTCAAAAACAGGCTTCACGCCAAAAAAGATAAGGCACACATGATGAACTCTGAAACCCCAAAACGTTTTTGCCCCTCACCCTCGCGAATGCACTTGTCGATCTCAGTTCGGCAAACCCCAAATGATAGCTTCTAACAAGTTTGGGGGCTCTCCCTGTTTTCCCGTTTTGGGTTTAGGGTTTAGGGCTTTGGGTCTACCTAAAGTAACCTGTATACCTTCTGAATGGGGGGTAGATATACCAGCAATTAAGGCACATGTCCCTTTCTGTAGGAGCATCTAGGTTCGGTCTTGGCAACTAGCACTTCAATCCGTGCCATATCTTGTTGTCATAGTTACTGGAGCGGCCCCGGGGTTCAGACTGGCGTCCTGCTCTTCCAGAGGAAAAGGGTCACGTAGTAGCCAAGGGTGCCAGCTATGGTGCACCATGCATGTGCGATGCTTACTTGATAAGGCTCGCGCTGTATCGGCAAGATGCCTGACACAGCTGCGGAGAAAGCTGCACAGGCACAAAGAGCGGCAACCACGAACGCGGGAAAGCCGTTGTTCCTATACTGAACTTGGAGCCCTAGCAGAATTGTTGATTCTATTTGTTTCTTCGGAATGAAAGTACCCAAAAAACTGGAATGAAAGTACCCAAAAAACGGGAAAAAATGTTTCCAAAGGATCCCTAAGGTTCAGGAAGAGGATGTTGACATACTTGAGCCAGGCCATGGTGCGCCAGCTATGAGACCAGAACTCATCCAGATGCTCAGACGCCACCTCACCTTGGCTGGCCTAGGGTTTAGGGTTTAGGGTTTAGGGTTTAGGGTTTAGGGTTTAGGGTTTAGGGTTTAGGGTTTAGGGTTTAGGGTTTAGGGTTTAGGGTTTGGGGTTTGGGGTTTAGGGTTTAGGGTCTAGGGTCTAGGGTCTAGGGTCTAGGGTCTGGGTCTAGGGTCTAGGGTCTAGGGTCTAGGGTCTAGGCTCTAGGAGGCTCTAGGCTCTAGGCTCTAGGCTCTAGGCTCTAGGCTCTAGGCTCTAGGCTCTAGGCTCTAGGCTCTAGCTCTCGAGGCTCCAGGCTCGAGGCTCTGGGCTCTGGGCTCTAGGCTCTAAACTCCAATCTCCAGGCTCTAGTAGGCTCTAGGCTCGCTCTAGGCTCTAGGCTCTAGGGCTCTGGGGTCCAGACTCCAGGCTCCAGGCTCCAGGCTCTAGGCTCCAGACTGTAGGCTGTAGGCTGTAGGCTTTAGGCTGTAGGCTGTAGGCTGTAAGCTTGAGGCTTGAGGCTTGAGGCTTGAGGCTTGAGGCTTGAGGCTTGAGGCTTGAGGCTTGAGGCTTGAGGCTTGAGGCTTGAGGCTTGAGGCTTGAGGCTTGAGGCTTTAGGCTTTAGGCTTTAGGCTTTAGGCTTTAGGCTTTAGGCTTAGGCTTTAGGCTTTAGGCTTTAGGCTTTAGGCTTTAGGCTTTAGGCTTTAGGCTTTAGGCTTTAGGCTTTATAGAAATTGTACAGGGTTTGTGTCCGTAGTTTTGGGCGAAAGTTTTGCATAGTAGCTCCAAGCGATGGTGTTAGTGGGGGTGTAGTTCTGGGTCCAGGCACCCTAGACAAGGGCGGGTACGGCCTAAGCAGGCCTGGGTGGGAATTTAGGGTTTAGGGTTTTGGGGTTCGGGTTTAGGGTTTAGGGTTTAGGGATTAGCGTTTAGGGTTTTTCCAAGCACTATGAGAGTACATGCAAGGTTTAGGGTCTGCAAGGTTTGCTTTTTAGCCGCAAGAAAGAAAGTGCAAAATGAGCCCCAAAACAAAACCCTCAGCTATCCATACAAGGGCCTTAAGAATCTTCAATAGGGTTTTGGTACTATAGTGCAGAAATATTTTCATACAGACCATAAATAAATTTATAGGGTTTAATCATAGTCACTGAGTCCATAAAACTTCCTCCTCTCTCCTGCCAACCACTTGCGCGGCATGCGCTGCAACACACGATAAACGGGGATCCCTCGCACAATGTCCGGCCTGACGGCTTTCCTCACTGGCTGAGTTTTTTTCAAGGGACGTGGCATGAGGCTTTGAGGTTGGGGGGCCAGGTTAACTGTCGGCTTTTGCTGCAAGGGGATTGGTACGTAGCGCACAAAAGAGGGTTAGAGCTTTCCATCTCAGACAAGTTTCATCTGGCTCACGACCTCGACGAGACCCTCGAAAAAATCCAGGGAATCCTGCGAAGATTCTTTCGAGACTTCAGAAGGAGTTCCCACAACGACCTCCAATCCACTCCCGGCCATGGCGGCCAGAAAAACAACAAAGAATCGCACCTACGCTTTGCCTGCTGGGCCACACAATGTTTGGAAAAATGCACCGGCCTGCTGCGTGGACAGCATAATCCGTCAATTGATTAATCTAGACAGGTTGCTTTTTGCAGCAGACGTGGGGGGGGGGAGGGGGTTAAGGGGGTTCCGGGTGGTGGATTCGGGCTCAGGGTTGCTGCTCGGCTGGGCTTTTTCAGGATGTGTTGAAACTCAACGCCGTAAGTCGGAGCCTCGAAATTCTCCATCCATGAATCCCAAGCTTCCAAAAGTTGACTGCTTGGGGTCTGAGGTTTAGGGTTCGCAAGTGCTCTGAAGTCACAGGCACTGAACTAAACCCTGAACCCTGAACCCTGAACGCTAAGCCTCAACTAGGAATCCTGGAACCATCAGGTCAAGAAGAGGGCTTCGTCCCGTGCCAGCACCTTCACAACGTCGGCGCCTTCACGGCCGCGAAAGTCCATAAACCCTAAACCCTGAACCGTGAATCCTGAACCCTAAATGGAGCTGTCCGAACCACAAAACTGCCACACCTGGAAAATGCTGGAACGACCATCCCCCAAACCTGTGAAGGGGAATTTGTTCAACCGGCCGACGACAGATAATTTTGCCGAGATCTCGAACAACAACATCATCATCATCATCATCATCATCATCATCACCGCCATCATCATCATCATCATCATCATCATCAGCGAAGAGCCTAAGGTTTGCGCTTGGATGCCGACATGAACTTTTTCAGTCTCTGGCTACGACGGCTAAGAAAAGCCTCGGGCTTTGCCCGGACTCTGCCTCAGCTTGTGGCCTAGCTTTGGCGTACTCCTCACCCCGAGGCCTACGCATCACGAGTGTATCTGCTAGCAGCTATCGCCAGGTCGGCCAAGCTAAGCACCACACTCATCATTTCCGTCCCTCCGCCCTTCTTCAAGCCACGGCGCCGGCGCGTTCGGAGCTACCTTGACGGGGCCTCGTCGCAGAGGGAGATGGCGCCGCCTCTGGCCAACGCCTTCTTCGCCAAGACCTCGGCCATGACCGCCCCCGAGTCCACGAAGGCGATGGAGCCGGGAGAAGAGATGGAATCAAGATCTTCTTGGCTTAAAGCCTTATTTTTTTGAGAACCCTCTACAGGTTCAACCATGTTGATGGGCTCTTGTTCACACAAGTCAAGTCTGTAAAACAAAGCTCACAAGGCGGCCAAGGGGGCAAGGCCCACTTCGGTGCAGCCACCGATGACGGCATCCACGTCCTGGTCCTGGATGTACCTCACCTAGTTCATGATTGGGATAGTATTAAACACTTAAAGTGCAATTCCTTATTGAACTTTATAAGTACCCTTAAAAAAGATGTAAAAAGTTACCCCACCATGATCAAGTCACGTTGCCACGCACCCGACTTCCCGCCCAAACCCCCTGGTTCGAAGCCCCGGAGTGCTCAGGAACCTCCAAACCCTCGATCCTGTCAACCCTCTGGTCCATCAGCAGCTTCCTGGCCGTAAAGATGTCGCCGTGCTTGGCGACCATGATCGCATCCCAAGCGGTGTCCACGTTCGCGGAGAAAATCCGGGCGCCGGCCCTCTGGGCCTCCATGGCATAGACGTTCTCCGCGTTTTCGCCACGCTCGAGGATTCCCGTGCCGTTGAGAAGGTAGCCGTCGGCATCGACCTCGCCCCTACGATGCCCTGCGAGGTGAGTCCAGTGGGTTGCAATCATCCCCAGCCGCGTCCTGTTCAGGCCTGGGTTTGCTTTTGTTTAGATGAACCCAAAGATGAAGAAAGAAACTACATGCAAAGAAAGAGATGCATAAGTATCTATATGTTCATGCTTTACGTACCTCCCCCCCCCCCCCAGATCCAAGATTCAACATTCTCAGGGCAGTCCCAAAGTCCAAGGTCCACTTTCCATTATGGACTAGTACCCTTTTACGTCTAACCCCTCAAGCAAAAATGAGCAATCGAAAGTGGAAGTGTAACATCACGAAAAGAAACTGGAAAGTGGAAAGCGCGCAGAAAAAAAGTGGGAAAGTGAAAAATGAAAAGTGGGAAGTAAAAAGGTACAAGTAGTTGAAAGTAAAAAGTGGAAGGTGGAAATTGAAAAGTGCAAAGGGCGTGTGTCGTCCCCCGTGCACCATAAATAGGTCTGCTTAGCAGCTGCTAAGCTTGTGTACAGAGGTAAACAAACCCTCAATTTTCTTCAGAAAAAGGCAAACTTGCTACACCCTCTTTTGCCTCCCAGAAACCCCTTGGGATTTGTTTTAAGGACTTGTTTTACGCACGATTCCCACGTAGCCGCACGAGCATCCAGAGCGTGATCCACAACATGCTGAGGGAAGCTACTTCGCTGGAAGGCTTCCATTCAAAAGGGTTGAGGGTTTCGGATTTAGGGTTTTCAATTGCTCATGTGGGGTCTCTCAGGCTTACTTAAACATGCCAACTGCCGTCTCCGATCACACGCTCTACCGTCCCTTCCGACACAAGCCCGTTTGGCGAATCCGGGGGCGAAGGCTCGGCAATCGTTCAATCATTTACTCTTGGCTTTCCCTGGGCTCCCCCTCAACCCTAAACCCTAAACCCTAAACCCAAACCCCTAAACCACAGGACATTGAAGAACAGGACATAATTGAAATGAAGTTCTGAAAAACGTCAAAAGCCTTGGCTGGCCTGCCCTGGGATTGAACACATGTAACTTGACTGAAGTAGCGTTAAGCTTTTCTTGTATCTCAGGAACCCGGACCCTAAACCCTGAACCCTGAACCCTGAACCCTGAACCCTAAACCCTAAACCCTAAACCCTAAACCCTAAGCCCTAAACCGTCAACCCTAAACCCTAAACCCTAAACCCTAAACCCTAAACCCTAAACCCTAAACCCTAAACCCTAAACCAGACTTTCCCAAAACTTAAGCTGCTTGAAATTATTCAGGAGCCACAGAGAGGGGCCGGAGGCTCTTGAAAGGTCCCGTGTGCTAAATCAAGCCTACTTGTGCTACGTGGCAAAGATCGCCGGCCTCTTACATCCTTAGATTCCGGGGAGGGGCATTGATGCCTAGAGTGAATACACAAGCTATAGAATCCAAAATCAAACCTCATAAAACATGTCTCTTGGAAACCCAAAGAATGAAAGACAGATTAGGAGATCTACTAAAACAGTCACCTTGCGAAGCATTCGAGGGAGAAGTGCGGATGACATCAGCTCTATCATCAAGCTTTTTTGTCAAGTCAAATATGTCAAATTAAGTCCTGCACACCTGCATGTTGAATTTTTATTTGACTGCTACATATAAGCCCCAGAGAAGCGAGAATACTGTGAGCAGATATCTATTCATCAGCTTCCGGGCATCACTTGCACGCAGTCATCTAGGAATTCATTCGCAATGCTTCCCGAAGGCCTCTTACTGGCTTTTGTACGTGCCCAATGGCTTTGCACAGTAGTATCAATGGAAATCATCCTACTCGGGAAGGTAAATATTCTTCAGCTTCTTCTCAAACGCGTTCAACCTGTGCGTACGTTGTTTTGCGGCCAAAAGATGTCCCTTAATGGCGCAGCCCAGAAGCACTGGGTGGCTTTCCGGACGGTGGCCCGTGGCATGTGGAGCATCCTGAAGCCCGACTGAACAGCCATCCCCCAACTCAGGGACGTCGGGGCATAGAGATTCTGATACCTTGCTTGCTCTCTTTAACCAAGTAAAAGTTTAACTTTTAGCTCCCTTGATATGAAGGAACCCCAAAACTTATAAAGTGCTAAAGTTGCAGATTCTGATACCAGGTGTTGCTCGCGCAGCCGTAGATGTCGATATCCCTCCTGGTCAGGAACTTGCTCAAGCCGGTCACGTAGGCTTCGACCATGCTCCTCGGTGGCTTCGAAGGTGATCTATGTTACTTGTTTGTGCCAGGTACCACATCTATCAAGGATGTCCGGAAAATAAAACGGCCTCTGTGTCTTAGGTTCCCTCAACAGCAGCCGAGGTGCGGGTACCGCATGGCTTCAACAGCTGACATGGGATGCTGAGACTGGGAGAAGAGCTCTAAGCCTACATGCCCAAGGCCTTGGCCAGCCTTCAGCAAGGTCTCCTCAACTGGTTTCTATACTCCCCTTAGCACCTCAACAAAAATACCATTCTTAATATCCTCTTGGGATTTATAGGAACAAAAGTAAGAAATACGAGATAGGTTTTTTGCCACGGGCAAGATCGGGATTAGGGCCAGAACCGCTTGTCGTATTACGATTCGAGCTTAGGCTTGGACCCTCTTAGCGACGTCTAACGAAGGCTTGCGGTTGAGGGCTTGTAGCGCTTGCAATTCAGTTCCATGGTCCCATATCACCAGTCACCAGCACCTAGCTAAATCAAACCTCTTGCCACAGGCTACATCAAGCCCCTTTTAGACCTCGAAACCACGATTTGCCAACGCGATCTAGTCTCCGCAAGAGTCAAAACAGCAAAGGCCCCTGCGATGGGACCGTTCCCGCCCAGTAGGCCCATCTTGTACCTGCGGGCAGACGAAACCTAAAGTGAAAAGGGGGTTGTGGTTTTCGTGAAAAGGGATTCTGGAAACTTTGGTCACATTCCCTTAGCCCTGTACATGGGGGGGGGCAGCCCTAAGTCTCCGAATTCCCACTAAGTCGACATGGTACTGGAACTTGCTGGGGCCCGAGGTGATGGATTGCACCATGTACTTCGCAAGCTTCTGCTGCGTGTGCATCTCCGCCATCCGCTCCGCGTCAGCGACCTCCGCGACCGCAGCTGCTCTGGAAGGACCTCGGTCATAGTCTGCGACAAGCCAGCTTTCATCAAGCAAAATTACCGGGCGGATCCAGAAGTTGTAGTCTTTGAAGGATTTGCCATTCCATTCCACGGCCATGGCCCTTGCAAAGGAGCCTGGGTCCCTTCCATCAGCCCCCGAGTCCACATAGCAATGGCTGATGAGATCCCTCAAGGTGAAGGACGCAGACCTCCCTCGACGCTGTGAGTGAAGGGACTGCATGAAGCTGTCGTCAACGGGCGAGTACTTGGAGGATGCGACAACAAGGAACACGTCGCCATCAGATCTGGAGCGGAAGGACGACCGATAGTCCAGCAGCTTGTTCACCACCATTTCGCCCATGAGCTCTGCGTTGAACCGACGATCGTCACTGAAGATGGCCTGGACGTTCGGGCGGAATTGCTGATATGGCCAGAAGCTCGCCATTGCCAGCTCGTACAACATGTAGACGGTGGCATCCTCGAAGTTGGACCACAGCACGATCTTCGTCTTCGCGAAGTCGGACCGCCACCGGGACGATTTCACAAACTCACGCTCATTGCCGCGAAGGGCGGCGCGCTCTTGCACCTGGCAGAGCAACCAGACCAGAAAGAGTCTCATGGGTCATAGGCCCCCGGCCAAAGTCTTGAGCTGCTCGTGCCAGCGAGCCAACGATGGTGGTGCGAACTTCGGTTTGCACACGCGGTCAGGACTAGCATCGAACCATAGAACATCACTCTGCGCTTGCCCGACAGGGACCTCCGCCGGACGCGAATGCCCGTGCCCCTGACCCCACGATGATGCGCTTGCGGAGGCCTCCTGGACCGTGGGGGGACCACCGCTCCGCAACCCCGGCGTTGCCCGCACCCACTCGAAGCCCATTCGCTCACTCACTTCATATGACGAATAAAATTCGCAGCGAATAAGCGACACAAAACTGTGAATGAGTGAAACGATTGCACGAATTCTAGTTGCGCGAAATGAACGAAACACGAACCCCCTCAGTATTCAGCACAATTACAATGCACATGTTCATGGGGGGCATAGAACGAAGCCAACGCTGTGCTGCATAGTCCATCCGCTTGATTCAGAAGGCGCCATTGAATGTCGACTTGGTCTGGCACGGCAACTAATGGCACAAGCAAACGTTTCAACGTATCCTGGCAAAAGGAAACCGACATCAAGACCACGAGGGCCGCTAGGGCCATCGAAAACGAATGGTTGATCACTGGGGAAGGTCTGTTCACGGGGCAAAATGGCTCTTGATAAAGGGCAATGTCGCAACATTGTGATGCTAAGAAACGAAATGCGTGAACACAACCTGTTGTTTTTTTTGCAGTTAATCACGGTTAGGCGGCACTGATTGGGCGCATCGGATCCGCCTCACTCCAAGCGCCCCGAACGCCTCCCGAACAACGATGCAACGGAGGTCTGGAATCATAGCGATGGATGATGAACCATGTCCGCTGCACAGCACGTCCAACAACGACCATTGACACACTTTGTTTTTCTCCCCACCTCTTGGCCTCGAGATCCGCAATGGGGGGGGTGGGTGGGGGGGGTGGCAATAGGAAGCGTTTCCCAAAACTGCGTGTTAGAGACCCCCTCGCACGTTCAACAAGGAAGCAAAGGAAGCACACGGGGCTGTTGTTTAAGGAAGGGTTTGGGGGGGGCAAGGCGTCCGCCCAGGCTGCCCAGCAAGCCGCCGGCGCCGAGCGCGTCGCCGACTGCAGACCTAAGCCACCTAACGCTGCCGGCAGGAAAGCGGTCGCCCGCGCGAGGTGCGCATCCTCTGGTGGGGCCCCTGCCTCGCCGCCCAAGCAGTCCAGTAGCGTGTGCCAGATGGCATCGTCGTGGCCTGCGGCATACGAGGCAATGGCGGTTGGGGGCACCGTGCGCAGAGCGTGGTTCGCGCGCGGAGACGCGCAGAGCGCGAGCAGCAACCATGAACATTGCAGGTCAGGGAGCTGGGGCAGTTGCTGCAGGAGTTGTTGCTCTTCGAGCAGCCGGCGCACCGCCCAGGCATGCACGAAATCCGTGTGGCCTACAGGGGAGCCCAGCACAACCATGCCTCGCTCGTGCCGGTCCCCCCTCCACACGTCGGGCCCAAGCTCAGCCAGGCCCGGCGGAGCAGGCCCCTCCGAGCCTCCGAGCCCTCGCGTTTTGCCAAGATTGGATGCGATGCCACAGTGCTCCTCCACTGCCCCGGTCACCGTGTCGAGTGCCGGACGTGCTCTTGACGCCACCGTGATGACGTAGAGGTCATCAAGGAATGCCAGCAGCTTGTCGGCTGGATCGAGGTCACCGGCTGCCCGTGCGAGAGCACCGTGTTGCCCCAAGGCAAATAACGCGGGGGCCAGCGGGTCGCCCTGCTCGCAGCCCTCGGCCTGGTGGACATCACGCCTGCGGCCGGCCGCGTCCCACCAGCTATAGGTGGAGGGGCGACCATAGAACATGCGCACGAATGGCAGCAGTTCTGGCGCCACTTCCTGCAACTTGACCAGGAAAGCCGCTCGCGAGATGCTATCGTAGGCACTGCGGCCATCGAGCGAAACGACGACTACGTCCTCGCGCGAGTCCAGCGCCGCTCGGACGGTCGCAACGATGGCGTCAATGCCCGCCCGCGACTGGAAAGCCATGATCGTGTCATTCAGAGGTTTCAAAACCAATCAGAGGTTTCACAACCAAACACATGCATGTAAAATAAGCCAAAAAAACCTGTATATAGCATGCATTATGTCAGGATGACTGCTTGATGAGTTGAAAAAATGGCTGAAAAAAAGATGGTTCTAAAACATGGGCTCTCAAAAAAAAGGCTTTTTAAAACTTAAATAAAAAAACATTGTCCAAACAGCAATAAGCAAAAAAAAACTGTATATAGCAACCATGATGTCAGGATGACTGCTTGATGAGTTGAAAAAAATGGCTGAAAAAAAATGGTTCTAAAACATGGGCTCTCAAAAAAAAGGCTTTTTAAAACTTAAATAAAAAAACATTGTCCAAACAGCAATAAGCAAAAAAAACTGTATATAGCAACCATGATGTCAGGATGACTGCTTGATGAGTTGAAAAAAATGGCTGAAAAAATGGTTCTAAAACATGGGCTCTCAAAAAAATGTTTATTTAAGCTTAAATTGAAAACATTGTCAAAACGGCCCCAAAAAAATTGACTCTAAGCTGCACAGCTCAATGTTCCAGCACAGTGCTAATATAGTTGTGCCTTCAAAGCCTCAGTAATCCAGCAGGGATGGGTCGGGAGGGTTTGTGAGATGGAGCAGAAAGGGGGGGGGGGGGGGCAGGGCGGCATAAAAATCTTGCCACCAAGGATGTCAGAGCCTCAGTCGCAGCATCAACGCTCCTTCAGGAAGAGCAATTGGGCCCTCAGGTTTTTGCAGGGTTTCGGGTTTAGTTGGTGTTTAGGGTTTGCTGCCAACCCTTAGATCCGAAGCCAAAAACCCTAAACACCTAAACAACAAACCCTGAACCCTAACCCAGGAGCAAGTCGGCACTGTGCTGAAAGGCGCTGCCTCCAAAAGGTTTGTGCCGAAAGGCGCAGCCTTGAATCCGAAACCCAAAACCCTAAAGAATAAGGTTTTTGCAGGGTTTCGGGTTTAGGATTTGCTGCCAAACCTTAAAAACCCAAAACCCTAAACAACAAACCCTGGACCCTAACCCAAGGAGCAGGGGTGCAGCTCAAAATCGAAAGGCGCTGCCTGAGCAGAGCAAGACCCAATTTGTCATTCCAGGCTCAAGGGGGGCACAGGGGCGATCATGCTGTCAAACCAAACTGTAAACTGTCAACCCCAGCCCCCCCCCCTTCTCCTTGCATTCTGGGCAAGTTGTGACGACCCAGATCTGCCAATCTTCAGCAGTCCTGCCCTCAGCACTGGTTTTCCCAGAGGTTTGGCCTGGGCGAGCTTTGTCAGTGCTTAACATGTGCCTTGAATCCACTCAGCATGTTGATCCTTTGGTTTCTCATGGTTTGTCACTTTAAGGCCAGTTGCTTCACCTCCAGAACTCCACCAGGCAGGGCTAAGCTGATGGTGCAAATGCTTTTGGTGTTACTGTTTGGGGTGTCTGTTTGTTTCAGTGCTGTGCAAGTGCTAGTCATGAAGCCATGTCATGATGTGAGCCTCTGACTGATTGAAGGCTGTCACAAAGGGCTTCTATGCAGTTAGAATTACCAGGCTGTGTGCCGCAAGGAGTAGGCCGCCACAGTGCCGAAAGGCGCAGGGGCGATCATACAAGGTATTATGAACCCAGGGCGCAGTGTAGAAACCAGTTTGTGCATTCCATAGGATTTAAGGCTCAGGTGTAGTGTTGCAGCAAAGCCCTGTGCCACCTAGGCAAAACTGCAACTGTGATGAGCATACTGTTGCAGTACATAGGCTGTTCTTTGCGTGACGGCAGTCTTGCAGTGAGAGGCTTGATGTGTGATTCATCTTGAGTGCCTGTATGTGCAGCACTGGCTCGTGAGTAGTGCAGTGCAAAATTTTGTCTGGGTTCGAGGCCGCCTTCTAGTTTAAGGGCCCCTACAGGCGCTACGAGTGCTCTTAGAGCTCGTGCAAGCTGCGCCGCGATCGGCCAGCGGATGGACAATTCCTCCGCTAGTGAGGCGTCGTCGTCTTCCTCTGACGACTCCGGGTTGCCCATCCCTGCAGGCACCCCTTTTGCACCTGTGCGGTTGCGTCTGCGTTGTTTCCACGAAGAGGGTCTTTTGCAGCGTTTGCAAGCCCCGGTTGATCTCTTCACGCATATCCTTGAACCAAGCTTCCGTGGCTTGTTGTTAAGTCGCCGGGAAGGGGCGCGCTTTCTCCTGCTGCTTGCAGTTGAAGACTGGGTGCGCTTTGCTGCTTCATCTCATTGGGTGCAATCCTGCTATCGCTTGTTGCTCCCCTTGGAATCTTGATGTGGATGCGGCCAGAGCAGATGTGTACAAGGAGAGAATGGAAAAGGCGATCTCGGAGGTG